CGCGCCTCGTCGTCCACCACCACCACGCAGTCCGCCAGCGCGTCCACCAGCGGCTGCTGGCGGCGCAGCTCGGCGTGCAGCTCGCGCGCCGCCCGCAGCGCCGCCTCGCTCCCGCCCTCGCCTTCGCCCTCCGCCTCCGCCTCCATGCGCGACATGCGGTCCTCCGTCTCCGTCAGCCACTGCCTGTACACAAATGTAATGCATATTGGTGTGAGGTGGAGGTGAGGTGGAGGTGCGGTGGGGAGCGGAGGCGCGGCGTACCGGAAGCGCTGCAGGTGGTGTTGCTGAGCGCGCATGAGCGCGGCGTGGCCGGCGGCCTGGCGGCGCATGGCGGCCTGTCGCAGCTGCTCCCAGCGTTCGTTCAGCAGCCGCATCTGCAGCCGCACCTGCGCCCACACGACGTTCAATACAACTCTTATTTGTATAATATGTAAAGAGTGAAGCGTGCGAGCGCACCTCGTTGGCCTCGTCCCGGGAGAGCGCGGCGTCCCGCAGCAGACGCGCGCCCTCCTCCAGCACGCCGCCCACCCGGCACTGCTGCTCCGACAGCTCCAGCAGGAACCGCTGCGGCGACACATTATTTCACGTTTTATTTCATTACCGACTATTACGACTTAATTTGACTGCTCGGACTCTTGTTCATTCATCAAGAGGGCGCCGGAACAGTTAACATTGCATGAACTCATAGAATGGTCACCTCGTGGGCGTGGAAATGTTCCTTGAGCAGCGCGAGGTCGGCGTGGTCCGGGGCGTGGTCCGGGGCGTGGTCGGGCGCGTGTGGCGACGTGTCGGGCAGCGGGCGCGCCGCCAGCCGCTCCTCCGCCTCCAGCAGCCAGGCCAGCGCCTCCTCCAACGCGGCGCCGTACCCGCCCAGCTCCGAGGCCGTCGTCGCCGAGGACAGCGGCCGCGACGCCGGCGCCTGCCGACACAGTGCCATTGTCTGCCCGTCCCTCACTTACCTCGCCCCGCCTCACTGACACTGACACGGAAAACTTCCCAATTCACAGTGCTCGTCTCTTCCAAACGTTAAATACAGTACTCTTTTAGTTATTAAGTAGTTGAAGCATCTCGGCGGCTGGGAACATCGCAAGACCTCGCGGCCGACCAGATGGGCGAGTGAAGCACGCGTTACATTACGAGAAGGTGTGAACGGGCAAGTGTCAGTGTGGTGGCGGCAGTACCTCCGGCGCGTGTTCGGGGTCGCGCATGTCGTCACGCATGTCCTCGCACGCGTCGTCGCGCAAGTCGTCGCGCGAGTGCGGCAGCGACTGGAACAGGCACATGACGTACATCATGATGGACTTCTTGTCCGGGTGCTCCGTGTTCACATCTGCAACCACATCAAGACACAAAGTTTAGTACGTTTCTCAAGTTAGTAGATCGGGGCTAGGGGCGGGGCGACTCACCCTCGGGGTCGAGCAGGCGCGCGATGCCGAGGTGCGCGTGCGCGAGGCGGAAGGCGTGGTCGAGACGCGCGCGCGGCTCGGCGCGCAGCACGGCCGCGTAGTCGAACAGCTGCGGCCGCCAGCGATGCAGCAGCGCGTTCAGCGCCAGCCCGTCGCGCCACGACCGCGTGAAGTCGCGGATGTCCACGCCCGCGTAGTTCTGCAACCGGGCCGCGGCCCACGCACCGGGTCAAACTTTAATCTTTAATCTTCGTTAGTATTCAAATGGAACGATTACACTAAGCGGCCTCAAAAGGCTAGGAAATCGATTGAATCGAGTGAGCGATTTAGTTAGTGACCTGCGTATGGGCGCGGCACCAGGCCAGCAGCGTCTTCTCCAGATTGCTCTGCTGCACATCCGGCAGCAGCTCGCGCAGGTGGCAGTGCACCTGCCAGTGTAGGATGATGCTCCACACCAGTCCTGCGACACGCCACACCCGTTACTCGTCGCGACACGCTTTCCGCAATCCCAGCGGACCCGCTCCTCCATTACTACCCAGTGACGGCACTGGGTACTGTGGTCACACGCATCCGCTACCTCAGTAGATACGGGAGCGTCGGCGACACAGTGGCCATTGGACATGTACCCTACACATCCCGAGTTCGACCGACGGCACATGGCGATAACAAATACCGAAACCGTGTTTTTAATTTTTTAATTCAATACATTTACTGAAGAAGAAACACATCGCCATGTAAACCGCATATATCTGGAAGAAAGGATCAGTCGAACCGCATAAGGCCCGCGTGATATGTTCATGATAATGACGGTATATTGGAATAAAATATAGTGTGGTCAGAGTGCGGTGAGACGCACCAAGGATGAGCTTGGCGTTGCCGTCCACGATGTCGGCGCCGCTGATGTTGACGAGGCGCACGCCGGCCGCCTCCAGCGCGCGCAGCGCCGCGTTCACGTTGTTCAGCTGGTGCACGCGCATGCGCCCGCGCTCCCGCCTCTGCAACACACGCTCAGCTCTCACTACCCGCTCCTCTCTTGGCCCCTCCCCCGCCAGTGCTCGCGGACTTACGTAACGCTGGGCGGTCAGGATCTCCAGCAGCGCCAGTAGCACCTCGCCATCGCGCAGCTCCTGCACCAGGTCTTGCACCGGCGGCTTGTTGTTCTGCAATACGACCACACATTCCATTTACCATGTACGGTTCATTTACAGTTTTAATACTTAGATATAATCTTAACGGTAACGGAAAGGCGCACCTTCACCAGCTGCGAGTTGATCCACTTGGCAAAAGTCTTCTTCTGCACGTCCTCGCGCTCGTCTGCAACAACGAAAACTTTATTATACTTACTCTATAACTCTCATAATGTTCGGTAAACTATTTCAGTAACAGTGGTAGACGCCAGCAACAAAGCACCCGTCGGACGAACGGACGGATCGCCCGGTGCAAAACCATGACCACACAGAAGACAGGCTTCAAGTGGAAGTAATTCCGCGTTTCGATAAATGCCTGTGCCTGCCCGGGACCTAATTTTAAACGTTCCAGTTACATATAACATCACAGTTTATTTAATTGTAAAATAAAAAAAAATTAAAACTAACAAAATAGATGGCGCTATTTCATCTGTTAGTCTCAGTGACTGGGTTATTCATTTGTTTTTTTTTTAAGTTAAGGTTAGGTTATTCAGTGTTTGGATTGCAACCAGATAACTGTGTAAAACAATATCTGCAAGTATTTAAGCGTTGCCGTGTGAATAGGCGCGAGGCCCAGTGAGGTATACAGTGGCGGCACAAAGTACGCGTCTCGTGTTGTCAAAACAACGAGATACGCAGCTTTTATTGAACATGTAACGTTTGTTAATTGGCGGCGATCTCCGTTTGTCCGCGATCAGACATCTCAGTTCATCACAAACAGTGATCCCGCAAGTACTTTTTAAGCCGAAAACATAATAAAACTAATAAGTAGGTATGTACTTTATTAACATAATGTTAGAGCAGTCGTCCAAAGCAGTGATGCGACTCGACGCCAGGCCCCGGGCCTCATCGGATATTTACGTCGACTCTTACATGTCATCGTAGTGTTACGTTATTTGTAATCCTCATACAATTAAAAAAAATACTTTATCTGCTTTAGTTTATAATGATTTTTTGTGTCAGCGGCGACGACGTACGTAGTATTCAGCCCGTCAGCCCGACGAGCAGCCAGGCAACTCGCCCGCGCCACGCGCACTATATTTTTTATCTATCGTATAACCATTTATCACTATTTCGCACTAAAAAACCACCATAGCTGAATGTCATGAAATGAAATGTTTTGCTAATGAATATTGTAAGCGAAGTGCAGTGCGGCGTGCGACTAGACACTTATAGCATCGCATATGACATATAAATACGCTGCTAGCTTTTTATTTACAAAATTGTACCTTTCTCCAATCTTAAAACTTACCATTCTCAATGTCGTTATATTCGGTTTTGACTTTACATTTAAATTAGTTTTTGTTTTTTAGGGTTCCATACTCATAGGAAAAAAACGGAACCCTTATAGGATCACTTTGTTGTCCGTCCGTCCGTCTGTCAAGACCCTTTTTTTTATTTCTATAACTTTGTTAAAAAAATAAGTTGCAGAAAATCCCTCTAAATAATTTTTACATCATCTAAACTTTTATTGAGCTTAATTACGTTGACAGTGTCGCTATGAAGTGGAGCTCCCACTGGAAGAAATTAATATGCTGATTCATGATCACAACTAGTGTCAATTAAGTGCTGGCCGCTCACCCTATCCTATCAATGTAAAATCATTATGAATGTCATATTTTTGGCGCCATCTGCATCTCACTAGTTAGCTGTAAGGGCTCTATATTATGCAAGTACACAACTATGACACTCCTGCCTGCCCTAGTCTCCAAAGAAACCCAACACCCTGTTTGATGTTCCCAGTGATATCTCGGTGTGCCGAGTAATTTTGCATATGACTGGCTGACATATTAATTGTTGAAATGAAAATGAAAACAAAAAAATCATGACATTAAATACCAATTCATGTATAATGTGTATAGATGGTAAATGATGTTTTTATGTAGCAGTTTTTACGTATTCAAAACAAAGTTGCTTTTCCAGATCTTAGTTTACAATAAATTCCAACTAAAATAAACCAAACCACAATACTTACATCAAATTGAAGACAAATTATAGAAAAATATGAAGACAAATAAATGGAGTATCATCATGTGTTAAGTATCAGCTGAGATTTAGTTTAAATAGTTTAATAGTTTAAGTTGTATTTCTTTTCATTTTTATATACTGTACTCATATTTCAGGGCTCATTAAAAACCAGTGTTGAGGTGTCCATGATCCATAACAATTGTGTCTGTATGTTTTTTGTGTTTAAAAGTTGTGTTAAAAAAATAAGAATAACAGAATTATCAATTGCTGTATTCAATTTTATTCAAAATTAATTTGAATCATTGAAGAAACATTTAAAATTCTTATTAATTCTCTAATCAGACTCCCATAGCTTCTTTTTGGCATAACTTGGCAATAAATGTTATAGCAGATGGGGCTGCACTACGACCCCAGGGGAGCAACTGATTCTCTGAAAGGTCTAAGATTGCTCTGCTTATAGCAATATCTAGTGCAATCTTGTACATTGTACAACGCAACACAACTAGGGCATGACAATTGTACTTGCCTATGTTTGTGTGTGCAGTGCAGCATACTTGAATAACATACTCTGGCTCTCTCATTACAAAAATTTTTTGCCGGTTTAAAAATATTGATACATTAAAAAAAATAACCATGAATTCGTCTTTTATAATTTAACAAAAGAAGATTAGATGTAAACCCAAACAGCACCATTAGGATAATCCCAAGATGGTAAAGGATTGTTTATCAAGAACTTTTATCAAGTTTTATGTGCACACTAAATGATAAGATAAAATCGGCTGCGAAAACCTAAAACTGCTGCACGTAAGTAATTAGGAGTTGATAATGTCATCCCGCATCATCACTTCATTGCATCACATCTCAAGTTATGCTCTCAAGGTCCAATTTGTTAAGTAACGTGCCGACGCCTTCGCCACCACCACAATACTTACCAGCGGTGCTCGACTCCATTTTTCAAAAATGTTATTTCCTTACGACGACCCGTTTACAAACAAGATTTAATGTTCGTACAAACTTTCTGTAACATGACAACACACGATCACAACACTTGTAAAACTTTTCACAAACTTTTTAAACTTCCCTGAGGTCAATAGAAGTTGCGTACAATAATCCCGATTGCAACACTTAAATTTAATAGCACTTAAACACTGTCACTGTAAAGTAAAAAATAAAAATGATAATTTTTAAACAAAGCATAAGGCATTATTTTGGACGGCAGAGAAACTATAAAGTACGAGCCACAACTATCCAACTACAGAAACACACACATACACAAACGACAACGAGAGGTGCAAAGAGTATATAAAAAATGGAGAGGTGGGGTGGAAGTGTTGCCAATAACAAATTTTACCCGACTATGGACCGTGTACACGGGCCGTATCAAAATAAAATAAAAGGAAATGCTCTTGAAAAATAGCCAAACTAATAGTTTGCTGTGGTATACTTTCTGATCCATATTTCCATATATTATTAGAAAGGCCGAGAAAACCAGTGGTAGAGCCCGCTTTAACATCTTCGCATGAATTCAGAAGAAGACAGGCGTGAAGTGGAAGTAATTCCGCGTTTCGGCTGATGTGTTTGCGTCCCGGAGGCCTAATTTAGTCCTCTTTCCCTTCCCACCCTTTTTCTTATAAGGAAAGCCGCCTTATGATATAAAAAACATGGTATTTTGTGATTGTGCCTATTTGATTTTTACCATTTTTGATTTTGGCACTAATACTTGCGGTTGGTAGAAGTGGTGAGCTTTCAAACTAAAAATAGAAAAAGAATAAGCTGTCAAGAACTTCAAGTGGCGTAAGGCTGTATGGCTTAGTTCCTTTGCCTGCTCTTTCGAGTGAATAATAAAAACAACAACAACTTCAAGTGGCGCGTAAAAGTCATAGGTTATATAGTTAAGGCGCAAACACTCATTTCAAGTAATGACCTATTTGTATACCTAAGTGTTGGTGCTGTTTTGTAGTGTGTTGGTATTATGATAATAGATTTGACAATAAAAAAGGGATAGGTGGGATTAAATTGATTACGATTTTTTTTTCCATTTTCCTTGGTTTTTCTCATTGAACCAGGAAGCAATAACTTTCTGGTTATTGTTTTCGAATCACTATTGTAATTCAAGGCGAGGAATGATTATCACTCTATGTTTGGAAAATAAAACAAATTTTATTTGGACTCATTATTCCCGGTAAAATCCTAAAGTATTTTTAACTTATATACGGTTTTATTCAATACGTTTTTTCTTCCGTTTCAGCACTTTTTAATATTAAACCATGTAGTTATTATAATATAACCACAACTGTTACAGTTAAGTTGTTCTAAATAATTAAATTAACTATTGTCACATTCAAGAAACCCATAGAAATTGCTATGCCCAAAAAGTCGCAAGTTTTATAATTTTTTCATCTAAAGCCATAAAACACGGTGATTGCTGTAGCATTGGCAACACTGATGTGATGGAAATAACATGTGTATT